CACACACACACACACACACACACAGACCCCCTTAGGTCTTTGTCCTCCCCAATCCAAAACTGCTTCCGGCGCGCCTGGTGGCTCGTCGTTTGGTTTTCTTGAAGGGCGGTATGATCCGTTTGTTAGATTAAGTGTGATGTCAAGGTAGTCTGCTACTTTCAGTCCTTTCAGGTTGGCTTGTATGGTAATGTTCAGATCGTGTTATTTGAAGCGTTTCGTTATGTCCTTCTTTATTCTTTCTGCTTGTGAACCTGTGGTGTTCTTAAAAATTGCGAGTTCGTCATCTCTGTATAGTCATATGTTGTTCTTTCCGTACTTGTCGCATAGATTGTTCAGAATAAATAGTCCAACTAGCTCGCATACTTCTGCTCCATCATAACTTCCCATTGTAACGTCAAACATACTATCGTTGTCTTTTTTTTTAGCCAGGCGGCGCCGTTATCAAACAGAAGGGATTTTCTGGAGTGCATAATGATGTTGATGTCTCGACTAGTAATGTTAGAGTATTTCTTGGCGAAGTGGATTGCGCTGGATAGTAGTTCTTCAGATATGGAGGGGTATAAGCTTTCGATGGAAGGTGTGCTGCTGCTTGTTGGGTATGTTCGTGAACCAGTTGATTACGGATGACGAGTTTTTCTATTGGTTAAGTGTTGTTTTATTTCTCACATTGGTGTTAATTTTCTCGAGAATCTGCTTGCTTACGCGTCCTATTTCACTCTTGGCTGGGTTGATTAATCTACAGGTCGGGTTATTTGAGAAATTATCTTTGTGATCCGTTAATGATATTGTAACAGATTCGCTTTTAGGATCGTGCGTTGCTGTAGCGGGTGTTTTCAGTTTATACCGTTTATAGTTTTATCGCACCAGAGATGGCGCTATAGTGGGGTGTCCCGTAGTGTCCCGCAATGAACCATTTGTGTGTACCTCTCTGCGATGACAGTTCTAGGAAGAGAAAACAATAGGGAAAAAGGGGGCGAAAGAAGAGAGACACGCCTGAGGTTATGGGAGAGCAGCTGTGTTTTAGAATAGGCGCTTTCACACTGGCGGGAATTAGCGGGATGCAAATCTCGGTTTTTGCATCGCGATCGAAATACCGAGATTTTTACAAGTGTGAACGCAAAAATCTCACTAAGTATCGCGATCAGCATCGCGCTGCAAATCGCACTTTTGACTGCGATATTTGGGAATTAGCGCGATTAATTGCACCGCGGCGTGTGTGTGAACGCTCGCGCAAATAATCCCGGTATTTTCTATCCCATCATACGATGTGTTTACGTAAATACGTGCAGACGTAG